ATACACACATATATTTGTATATCTGTACAGATTACACTTTTCATGTGGTCCACATCATATATCATCATTGAAATATAAATTAAAATGAGATACTACTGTACGCCTATTAGAATGGCCAAAATCCAGAACACTGACAACAGCAAATGCAGACAAGGATGTGGAGCAACAGAAACTCTCAACCATTGCTGGTGGAAATGCAAAATGGTATAGCCACTTTGGAATACAGTTTGATGGTTTCTTATAAAATTAAACACCATATGATTCAGCAACCAAATACTCCTTGGTATTTGCCCAAAGGAGTTAAAGAGTTACGTCCACACAAAAACCTGCACACAAATGTTTATGGCAGCTTTGTTCATACTTGCCAAAACTTGAAAGCAACCAAAATGTCAAAACTGATGAACTGAACACTTAAGAACACTTTCATTTCAAAGTATGTAAATTATACCTCAATAAAAATGTTTTAAGAATTGTAATGATTTGACAATCATTTTCAAAAAGCCGAATTCTAAACAGTGTGTCGAGTTTTTATGTATCCAAAATGACAAACTGTCAAAGACATTTCTAAACCATATGCTGCTAGTATAGCACAGTGATTGAGAAGATGGTCTTGGAAGTCAGACTATAATTGAGTTCTGCCTTTAATCTGTACTAACTGTGACCTTAGGCAAATTACTGTACCTCTCTGCAATGTCCTCACTTTCCTCCTCTATAAAATGGGGGTAACACTAGTACCTTTTTAATCAGGTTATATTGGAATTATATGAACTAGTTCATGTAAAGTGCTTGGGGTAGGCCTGGAACATAGTAATTACTAATGTTAACTTCTGTTATTGATACTAATGCTGTTGATATTACTCATTAATGTCTGTCTTCCTTCAGGTTCTTGGCCCCCATAAGAAATACCGTCACTCTCCATTATCTTCCCTATTTTGTCACCTCATTAATTTGGAATCAAATGAAAAAAGATGTAAAAATATTATATACTATAATACTTACAAAGAATTGCTATATTCAGGGGTACCTGGGTGGTTCAGTTGGTTAAGCATCTGCCTTCAGCTCAGGTCATGATCTCAGGGTCCTGGGATCCTGCCCCAAATCTGGCTCCCTGCTCAGTGGGAACCCTGCTTCTCCTCCCACTCCACTGCTTGTGTTCCCTCTCTCGCTGTGTCTCTCTCTGTCAAATAAATAAAATCTTGAAAAAAAAAAAAAAAGAATTGCTATATTCACACTGTGCTGTGCTCTGGAAATGCAGACACTTGATGCAGTTTCTTAAGGAGTTCCAAATTGCGGGAGAAAGAGACAGGGAAGTAGTAAATGATAATAAAGGGTCATAAATGTGATCTGTGATGGAAATCATTCTGGTGTGCTGTTTAGGACCCAGTACCTAACCCATACTTGGCAGAGGATGATGTCTATGCTTGGGTTTGTTTTTGTTTTGTCTGTTTTCTTGTTTTGTTTTGTTATGGTATTGTACTGTCAGCTCAGTTGCTTCTTTAAGGATTAATCCGTACCACTGAGTCTTAACTCTGAACAACCCTTAGACTAGGAAAAAAAATCATATTCCACAATATAATAATTAGGATGATATGCTCCATTTCACCAAAGTCTAAATTAAATTTAGGTACAGATAGTAAAACACAAGAGTTTAGAATCTGTTTAGTCAAAGTCACTCAGTCTGCTTGTTAATCTGACCTTCTAACCTTTATACCTCAACATATTTGTCCCATCTCAGTTAATAGCAGTCACATCCTTTCACCTGCTTGGATCCAAAACTTGGGGGCACATTCTTGACTTTTCTTTTTCTCTCACTTCACATCCACTCTATCAGCAAATCCAAACAGCTCTATGCAAAGTGTATCCAGTGTGATCATTCCTCATCCCCTTGTCCAAGCCACTGTCATTTTTGTTTTTTTAAGATGTATTTATTTCAGGAGAGAGAGAGCATGTGCCTGCACACCCTAGTGGGTGAGGGAGTGGGGAGGAAGAGAGGGAGAATCTCAGATTCCCTACTGAGCGTGGAGCCTGACGCGGGGCTCCATCTCACCACACTGAGACTATGACCTGAGCCAAAACCAAGAGTTGGGCGCCCAACTGACTGAGCCATCCAGGCACCCCTCATTTTTGTTTTTAATACAGTTGAGTGGTTTTTAATATGTTCACAAAGTTGTGCAGCCACCACCGGTGTCAAATTCCAGAACATTTTCCTCACCCCATAAAGAAATCCTGTACCACATACCACATTAGCAGTTTTAATCACCATTCTCCCTTTACTCAGCCAGTGGCATCTGCCAGTCTGCTTTCTGTTTCTATAATTTGCCTATTCCAGACATTTCATAAACAGAATCATACAATATGTGCCCATTGTGTCTGGCTTCTTTTGGAGAGCACAGTCATTTCAGAGTTCATTTATGTAGTTAAATCAGTACTTTGTTCTTTTTTATGGCTAAATAATATTGACCTGTAGGGATATACCACAGTTGTTTATTCATCCTATGCTTGTTTTAGAAAGGGTAGTTGGGGGTAGGCATGCGGAACACATTCCAGGCTAAGAGCAGAAGTGCAGACACCTAACATCCTGAGAGAGCATGGTATTTTGGAGGGATATATCTAATACACCTGAGTGAAGAAATGTTTTAGAGCAAACAAAGCCAGCAATGGAGGGAGAGAGAGCAGAACACTGAATTGTTATCGTCCATAGTCTATTTTCAGAGTTCCTACAGATAGTGGTAAGAATTTTGGGTATAATTTGAATATGTGTTTATTTATAACTCTGACTAGTTCAAATTTGGGATTTTTAAAAATAATTCGCGTACTAAATCTCATTATTAGATCAAAATAGAATTCCAAAGATGGATAGTTTTCTGTTTTCATATAGCATATGACTACATGAAGCTTGCATTTTGACACAGTAGCCAGGTTATTAGCTTTTTAGGGAGTTCTTCAGTAAATTTTTCTGCTAAATTCCATTGTTTCTTAGTCCAATAATTGACATGGATTTTGTAGCAGTATTGGCTCTCTTCTAATGCTTAGAAGCTTTTTAAAATAGGTATAGTGAGCAATTTAAATATATTCAGTTCCCAGAATGACTTCAAAAAATAACAAGAAGGTTGAGGCACTTTTTACATATGGAATTCTTAGTGTACTAAGAGAAGTAATAACATTAAGTGGATAGAGCCTTAGGTTAGAAGCAGGTTGGTGTAATGAAGTTAGGAAATAGGAACTTTGCCAAAAATAAATTTTTTAAAAGATTTTGTCAGAGAGGAAGAGCACAAGCAGGGGGAGCTGCAGGCAGAGGGAGAAGCAGGCTCGATCTGAGTTGAAGGCAGATGCTTAACCGACTGAGCCACCCAGGTGCCAGAGAGGATTCTGAAAGGTCTTAATCTGACCTCCTACTATTAGATTATTAAAATTCTAAAACTTCATTTTATTTGTAATATGTGTAACCTGTGAATTCATTCTCATACACAATATTAATAATACGTATAAACCTGTGTGCTCATTCCCATACATAATGACAAAATGATTGTCATTTTAATTACTGAAAGGTATTGTTTTCCTTAGGAGGCCATTTTAATAACATTCGAGTGAATCCTGTCTTTTATAGATAAGGAAGCTGAAGCCTAGTGAAGATAGAGGACTTGTCCAGAGGCACATAGCCATCTAGGTTAGGAACGGGAATTCTATTTATTCATTAAATATTTCCTTACTTAAGAGCCTACTTCACGGGGGGGAAATCGGAGGGGGAGACGAACCATGAGAGACGATGGACTCTGAAAAACAAACTGAGGGTTCTAGAGGGGAGGGGGGTGGGAGGAGGATGGGTTAGCCTGGTGATGGGTATTAAAGAGGGCACGTTCTGCATGGAGCACTGGGTGTTACGCACAAACAATGAATCATGGAACACTACATCAAAAACTAATGATGTAATGTATGGTGATTAACATAACAATAAAATTTTTTTTTAAAAAAAGCCTACTCATAAGGCAGCGTCTCTGCAATCACCAGAGTTGAGCTGGGATGGAGGTGGCAGGGGAGAGGAGGATAGAGGACATGTGTGGCATGACAGATAAGAACAGAAGTAATTTCATCTGAATAGGAACTACATAGGATTAGAGGTGCATACACACTGTTTTGACAGCACAGATGGGAAGATTATGGTGTTGATTAATTAATTCAGTGGCAGATCTAGAACTGACTTTTCCATCTCTTAGTCCAGGGTTTCCTTTTTCTCTTCACTGTTACACATTGCTTATCTGAGAAGGTGAAATAGCCAAGTGAGCTTTCTTGTTTGTAGGTGGCATTTAAATCAACCATCTATCACAGCTCTCGTCTGGGTATTAAAAATAGAGAATTGATAAGTTAGATCTTATGTATTTGGGATTTTCTTGTATTTTTGATTCAAATTGAATTCCCTTCCTGCAGTTGTAAGCTGTAATTGACAGAACAACATTCAGATTCCTAAATTCTTAGGTTTTTTAACTGTGTTATAAGAGCTGACTTTGTTGTAATTACTCAGAAAGACCTGGATCATAATTTTATAACAGTATCAAATATTATTCTTTCTCTAGGTAGAACAGAGTTCTTACTTACAAATGTATCAAGAATATGAATCATTTTTGTTTAAAAAAATGCTTCTTCAAGGAAATTTTACATTGCTTTTGTACTCTTTAGAGATTGCATAGGACTTTGAAAAATGATCTAACTCTGATTTTTGTTTAATTTTGTTCCTACTGTTCTTTTCAGCCAAAGAGATTTGCATTGCCATTTTAATCAATAGCGAGTATAGATTCCTTCCTTTTTGGAAAATAATGTATTTTCGTATACTTTCATTCCTAATAGTTAGATTCAAGGTTAATTAAGATGAGGTGTACCAGTGTTTTGGATGTTCTTAAGTGTGTTTTTCTTTTTTAAATTTTAATTTCTAACAGGTATTATTCTGAAAGCTCTTTAGAACAGAATTAAGATTTTTATGCTGTTTTGTTTTTTCCCTTATTTAGAAATCGAAACGAGTTGGCTGAGACTCTTGCCCTCCTGAAAGCACAGATTGATCCTGTGCTACTGAAAAACTCTAGCCAACAGGACAACTCTTCCCGGGGAAGTCCCAGCTTAGAGGATGAGGAGACTAAAAAGGAGGAAGAAGCACCTAAACAAGGTTTTTTTTGTGTGTTTTGTTTTGCTTTGTTTTGTAATTTCTTCTCTCTTCTTCCACTCCTATTTCCAACTATATTAATTAGAATTCTTTCAGTTTGAAAAATTGGAAGTCTTCCTGTAGAGGGAGGTCGATTTTTCTTTTCCTTAATGAAAAATAAGAAGCAAAAAGCCATTGAGTACTTTTCCTCTTTTATATTGTACATTTATAAAATTTAAATAAAAAAAGTTCAGATCATCACAACATATTTTTGACTAATTTTAAGAATGCAGAGATACTTAGTGAACTCCTTTATTATTGTAGTTAAATATGCATAAGAAACTTTATCATTTTAACCATTTTTAAGTATACAATTCTGTGGCATTAAGTGCATTCACATTGTTGGGCATCTGTCAACACCGTCCATCTCCAGAGTCATCTTTGCCATGTGAAACTCTCCCCTTTAAATACTGACTCCCCATTTACCCCTGCACTCCCCAGCCCCTGGCATCCAATATTCTGCTTTCTATCTCTGTGAATTTGCCTAACTCTTGGGATGTTCTGTCCAAGAAATCATAGAATATTTGTTCATTTGTGACTGGCTAATTTCACTGAGCATAATGACAGGCTGAATAATATTCCATTGTATGTGAATATCACATTTTGTTTATTCATCTGTCTGTGGACAGTTGGCTTTCTTTCACCTTTTGGTTATTGTGAATACGGCTGCTAGAAACGCGGGTGTACAAATAGCTGTTTGAGTCACTGCTTTCACTTCTTTTGGGTATATACCTAGAAGTGGAATTGCTGGATCATATGGTAGCTTGAGGATCTGCCATACTGTTTTTTTACAGCTGCTGTGCCATTTTACATTCCCCCTAGTCATGTTACTTTGCTGTCCACCAAATGCTGCACGTGCATTTCCATTCAGTCATCATAGCAGCTCCTTGAGGGAACTGCTGTTACTATTGTTTCAGTTTTATAGATGAGGGAATTGGGAAGTTTATAAACTTGCCCTAGGTCCTATGGATAATAAAGTGTCAGAGTCTAGATTTGAACCCTGGTCCTTGTATCACCTATACTTTTCAACTACAGTGGTCTAGGGTTGTACTTCTCAAATTTTAATATGCATGCTGTTCACCTGATGATCTTTTTACAATGCAGACGCTGATTGAATTGGTCTTGTGTGAAGCTGATGATTTGCCATTTTAAAAAGCTACCAAGGACCTAGGTGATGCTGATGCTGCCGGTCAGAGAACCACACTTTGGATAGCAAGGTTACAGGGGCAGTTTTCTCCTAACCTTGTATTTATTTAAATACAGCAAAGTCTTTCAGACAGCTGTTGCTGATGTCTGAATGCTGATATTTTAACACTCAACGCAGTTAAGAGAGAATCTGTGGGGGAGGACATCTCTTTAAAAAGTAGCGCAGGAGGAGGATCAAGACATGTAACCTTTTTTGGTTTTCTCCTTTCTCTTTTAAACAGTGTCTCTTCTGTTTCTCTTACTCTAATAGCAAAATGTGCTTATTCATTCAGGAAATACTTATTTTACACCTACTATGTGTTAAGCACCGTTTTAGACATGAGACTTCAATAAGCAAAGACAAATCCTTGGCTTTTGTGAAGTTTTCACTAAAGTGGATAAAATAGCTGACACATACCATTGATCATGTGCCAAGTAATGTGCTCAGTGCTTTACATGCGTTAAGTCATATAATCTTCACAACCACTCTGTTAGGTATGAAATTAGTATTTCAGTTTTTTTATGGGGTTTTTTGGGTTCTTTTCCAGATGAGAGAAGGGAGACAAGGAGAGGTTTCAGTGACTTTCCCAGGGTCACACAGCCTGTTAGTGGCATACCCAGTGTTCACACTTGGGCAGTCTTTGGTCTTTCTCTGGGGTTTGTGTACTTTAGATGCTGCAGAAACACATAATTTGAGGGAGTCGACAGTTTTATTCGGGCCCTAAAGCCCCATCTCTTACTCACTCCTCTTATGTGTAGTTATTGTGTTCTGTTCCAAGCAAGACCAAAGAAATGGGATTCTGGCTTATCATTTTTATTACTTGCAGATGTAAATAAATACTGCCCTTGGGCAGGGAGAGGAGGGAGAGAGGGGATATTTGGAAATCAGACATCAGTAAGACAAAAAATAAACAGGAACCGGGGAAAGAATAAAACAGCTACTCTTATTCTTGCAACTAAAATAGATTTTTCTTTAATTGTTAGTTGAATTGCCATGCTTTGTATCCAACCTTAGTAAGTTTTTTTTTTTGTAAGTGCCAAGAAAAAATGCATTACATATAAAAGCACGCAAAGAAAAGATCTAAAGATGGCATCATATGTCTTTATTAAAACATTCACTAACTGAGTAATTAAATTGGTTTTTTATTTCAAAGGTTATTGAAATTGTCTTTGAAAAAGTCTGAATTTCTTAAACTGGCATTCAGAATCTCACAGTCTGGCCTCAAACGATGTTTCTAGTGTTATCTCCCACTAGGTTTTTTTTTTTTTTATGTTAATTACCATCCCACTAGTTCTTTACATGAGCACTGGTTCTTGATTATCTAGATGACTTTATTTTCTCCTTGTGTCTTGGGCATTCCTTCTGTGTCCTTATCATGCTTTTATCTCCCTGAGATACTTTTCCTCCACTCTGGGAATTCTAGTTATTCAGGGCCATCTGGAATCTCAGAATCTTGATCCTTTTTCTAAGTTCTGCTGGCACTTAAATACTATTTTTTCCCCACTTATATTAGGGTCAGTCATACTACAAAGCTTGAAGCTCTCAAATACTTGCTGACTTGTTCTTCTCAGATTGTGATAGACAATAGATTTCAAAGTGAGTGAGTGTTAGGTATAACTTAAGCCCTTCTCTAAGACCCAGGATGTCTTGGATGTCTTGTCTGGTGGTATACTACCTAGAAGTTACTATTCTTCTAGGACACCATAAAGTTTAATATATATTTTCACTCCATGTTAGATACTATATTCTAATTTGAAAGGGACCAGAAAGCTAAAAAGAACTTATATGGGGAAAAACAAAGTTGAAGAAATCCTAACCTTTAGTTTTTTCTGCTAATTGGAAAAAGATTTTCCTTTTGTTAGCTTTTGCATCATACACTTCTGCCTATATGTAGAATGGGTAAAGAATATCACTTGAGAATCTTTAATAGAGAATAGAAATTGTAGATTGGCAGCTTGCAAACTTGATTTGGCCTGAAAACATGTTTATTTTGGTTTGTACAGTTCTGCTTTGTTTTTTGTTTTGTTTTGTTTTTAATTAAGGTGAAAGTCAGCATTAAAGTGTACCATTCAGTGGTTTTTTGTATATTCACAATGTTGTGCAACCATCACCACCATCTAATTATAGAACATTTCCATCACCCCATGAAGAAACCCTGTAACAGTTAAGCAGTCACTTGCCGCTTTTTACCTACCCCTATGACTGAATAATATTTCCTTGTATAGATATACCACATTTTGTTAATTCATTCATGAGGTGATGGACATTTGAGTTGTTTCCACTTTTTGGCTATTATTAATAATGCCATCATGAACATTCATATACAGATTTGTGTGGGAACATGTTTTCACATGTTCGTTGTTTTTTTTTAATTTGAATTTGCTGTGAACATTTAAAATTGGAAATTAGAAGAGCTGCTAACAATGGAGCATTATTTTTGCCTATCAACAGTGAGCTGTACAGCTGAGTAATGTTTGACTCTCCTTAGAATTTGCATTCTCCAGTTTACCTCAGTCCTCTCTGTGTACGCTAAAATTGGGCTTAATCTCAGTTGCTTAGCCTAGTACTTACATTTTGTTTTTCTTATGATATAAAGTAAAAAAATTATTATATTCATGTGTCTATCAAATATTGAAAAAACAAGAGAAAGGAAAAAGAGAGAGGCGACTTGTTGGCAGCAGTGAAGGATATTCCTGCAATTATAATAGGTAAACTAAGCTACAGATGATTCTCTTGCGGCCATTACTAACTTGATATATGATCTAAAGCTTAAATTCAACATGGCAAAATAATACAACTTAATGTAGTATCTTAGCCTGCCCTGTCTGCCATAACAAGATATCAGGCTTGGTGACTTAAACAACGGAAATTTATTTTCCCCCAGTTTTAGAGGCTAGAAGTCCCAGATTGGGGTGCCAGCAGACCAGGTTCTCTGAAGACTTCCTTCCTGGCTTACAAATGGCTGCCTTCTCTCTGCTCACATGGCCTCTTCTATTTGTGTGTGTGGTGAGAGAGTGATCTGGTGTTTTTCCTTTTCTTATAAGGGCACCAGCTCTATTGGATTAGGGCTCTACCTTTTTTATATCATTTAACAATAATTACCTCACTAAGAGCCCTGTCTCCAAATACAGTCACATTGGGGATGGGGGCTTTAACATGAATTTAAGGGGGGAATAATTCAGTCCATACATGTAGTATTATGAAACAGTCCCATAGTAATATGGGTAATGGAAAAGATACCTGATAGAGAAATTAGGAGGGATAAGGGGAGAACTGCAATTTTAAGATTTGTTTCTTATGCTAAGATGAGCAGTTATATATATATATTTTTCTTTTCTTTTCTTTGAATTCCAGTGTACTTAAACATACGGTGTTATATTAGTTTCAGGTTAAGGTGCCCCTTAATTTCCCTTCTTAAGTTTGAAGTCAGAGGGGCGCTTGGGTGGCTCAGTTGTTAAGCATCTGCCTTCGGCTCAGGTCACGATCCCGGGGTCCTGCAATCGAGCCCCGCATCGGGCTCCCTGCTCGGCGGGAAGCCTGCTTCTCCCTCTCCCACTCCCCCTGCTTGTGTTCCTGCTGTCGCTCTCTCTCTCTCTGCCAAATAAATAAATAAAATCTTTTAAAAAAAAAAAGGAAAATGAATATTGTTCAGTTTGCCTTTCTAAAGTAATATAAACCAAAGTTTACTAGTACAGTACTGAAAACTAAATAATGATGGCATTCAATTATAAAAATTATGTGAAAATCCTGAGAGTAGATTCCCTGTATACAAAATTCT